TTTATGGACTAAAATGTTTCCAATTATAGTAGATCGGGATCTATTGGGGACCTGTTTATATGATCTAGACTATCCAGAACACATGCTTGAAGCCTAATTCATGTTGCCTGTTTGGTATACAGTGCTTATTGTATATGGTGAATTTCTTGGCTTACATATAGCCGAGCATATAGCCAAGATTCTGGCAATGGAAACCTCACGCTTAGCTAGGCCGATAGTAGTAGGATAGGATAGAACATACTGGCAAATGTTGTCTCCCACCTAGCCAGGTAATATGAACAGGGCCCAATTGTGACAAGTGAGCCAGATGAAGTAAAAAAACAATGAAGTTCATATACAGGTATGTCCATAAATTTTGATACCTGAACAGCAACATTGAACAAAATCATTCTGTCCCAATGTCATCCATCTTCCTTAAGTTTAGGACTCTGAGACCAATGAATATATTGTCATTCAAGGATTAAAAACAGTGAAGACAAGTGTTATTGTCAAACAAACGAAAATATTCATGTCCACAGGCTGCAACACGCAATGTTGACACATTATTTAAGGGGCTGTTTACATGAGCCCGGTTTGCAGGGCTGGCTCGCTTAAACGGGGCGCCCGGCTTCATAGTAATTTCCAACACAAAGCAATTTTACTTTACATGACAAACCGGGCCAGCCCGTTTAGCTGGGATCCCACTTGACTCAAACGGGGCGCCCGGTCAGCCGGGATGAAATTTTTCCATGTAAAGTATCCAGCCCGGGCAACCGGGCTAGAACAAAAACTTCATTTAAAACAAAAATAAAAGACAGAAACTGATATTTTTCTTGACAAAGTTTTATTTCTTCAATTAATCTTGCCGACAAAGTAGTTTTAATCGATTAAATTTGCCAATAAAGCACAAATTCGACTTCCGTGACAGACGTTACACTGTTAACTCGTAAACAAGTTTTTCCCGCCAATTTTCGTCAGCATGCATCGTCAGCCCGGCAAACGTCTCATCCGGGCTCGTGTAAACAACCCCTAAGCTCGACTAAATGTCGAAATCGACGAAAAATGAGCAAAAAAACAGTTATTGAGCTAATCAATCAAATAAATACTTGGCATAAGTTTGAAGGTCCATAGTCCAAATATTTGATGAGTTTCTTTATCCCATTTATACCAACAAAATTTTAAAAATTCCCTGTATTTAGATATTCGCCATATTGATCGCCACGCTGTTTGGCAAGGAATTGACATGTCAACTTGTCCCGGCCCGGAAATGTCCTGTTTACTTGTTACACAGGATATTAATAAATTAATGTGAAAATATGAAGATTAAAGTATCTTTTAAAAAATAAAACGTCTCAAACCTCGATTTGAAAGGCTTTTAAAAACGCTAATCCGTTCGGAACCTACAAATTCGAGGGGTGGTATTTAAGCTTGCGCAAGGCAAAGTTTGAAGACCCATATCTTCGCAATCACGCAATTAATCAAAAATCGCCACGAGGAAGTTGAGGAGAATTCTTTTAAGAACAACATATATGAATTTTATGGCAAAAAAACAAAAAAACGCTTGCAGAAAAGCTCTGAAGTAACCCCATATGTTTGTTTACAAATTTCATGTGATGAAGCGTTTTACGCATTCTGATTGGCTTAGGGCAAAAATGTAAACAAAAGCGCTGATTGGTCGAGAACGAAATTCCCCCTTGTTGCCCTGACCAGTATACCTAAAAAAACTATTAAATGTCTGTTTACATATTAAAGATGATGTCCAGTTTGTCCACTCCGTTCTGCGCATCAGTTCTGCTCATAAAGACCCCCAGATATAAACATTGCCCAAATTTTGCATCTTTAGTAGAACTTTTTTAAATTGAAACGTATACTGTCGTGTAGTTTATATTCATTTACGAGTATAGCGAACCAGAAAAGTGTTAGATATTCAGTTAGTATATCATATTTTACAAGTATAGCGAACCAGAAAAGTGTTAGATATTCAGTTAGTATATCATATTTTACAAATATAGCAAACGAGAAAAGGGTTAGATATTCAGTTAGTATATCATATTTTACAAGTATAGCAAACCAGAAAAGTGTTAGATATTCAGTTAGTATATCATATTTTACAAATATAGCAAACGAGAAAAGGGTTAGATATTCAGTTAGTATATCATATTTTACAAGTATAGCAAACCAGAAAAGTGTTAGATATTCAGTTAGTATATCATATTTTACAAATATAGCAAACGAGAAAAGGGTTAGATATTCAGTTAGTATATCATATTTTACAAGTATAGCAAACCAGAAAAGTGTTAGATATTCAGTTAGTATATCATATTTTACAAATATAGCAAACGAGAAAAGGGTTAGATATTCAGTTAGTATATCATATTTTACAAGTATAGCAAACCAGAAAAGTGTTAGATATTCAGTTAGTATATCATATTTTACAAATATAGCAAACGAGAAAAGGGTTAGATATTCAGTTAGTATATCATATTTTACAAGTATAGCAAACCAGAAAAGTGTTAGATATTCAGTTAGTATATCATATTTTACAAATATAGCAAACGAGAAAAGGGTTAGATATTCAGTTAGTATATCATATTTTACAAGTATAGCAAACCAGAAAAGTGTTAGATATTCAGTTAGTATATCATATTTTACAAATATAGCAGTTCAAAACGTAAACAAAGCTCGCGCATGTGCACAGGAGTGGACATCATATTTAAATTTATACTTCTGACAACACCACATGTTGTTTGATCACACATTATATATCAATTTATAATGAAATCCACAGCGATCAGATGGTCAAAATAAATTGTTTGCAGAAGGAAGCAGGCACAAAAAAATTGTTTGCAACGACAACACCAAAAAAATTGTTTGCGTTGACAAATGTCCACGCTCCCCCCTCCAAAAAAATAATGGTCCGTCCCTAATGCCTTATAGATGTACAGGATAATTCTGTTGTAATCCTCTGACTGTAATCTGTATTATTTATATTCAAAATATCGGCTATTTATTTAAATTTTAATAGTATATCTATAAACTGTCGCTCGCTTTACAGGTAACCACCTTGGTTAACTAGCTTTAGTATTCATACTAACCTGAAGTTCAGGCGGGCCTGAACTTCAGGTTATATTCATACTAACAGATCATTTTAATAATAGTTTCTGTTTTACAATATCCAAGACATTTAATAGACGTAAAAATATAATTTTCCTGGAACATCGCTTTTATTAAATTTGTCGGCTTTTCTGAGAATCTGAGCACGAATCACAGGCACGAAAATTCCCAGTATTTGTACTGCAGCTATACTTCCGGTAATACATTCCCACCAGTGGGATAAAAAACAGGTACGGACGGCACGGATACGGACGGCACGGATACGGATGGGGGGATAAAACACAGATGGGGGGAATAAAACACGGATGGGGG